GGCAGCTTTTGGAACACTCATAAACATTTTTTGTGCTTTTGTACTTGACGTACTTGTACATTTTGGTACAAAACACCACTTTCTGTTTGACATTTAACACCGTCAAAGTTCAAAGAATTTAACAATAATCTATCGTACCAGCTCTGACTACTCCAAACCGATTACTGGGGCGTTGTTGTGAGAATGGCGGGCCAGCTAGCGAGGTGTGATGTGACTGGCTACTGACGTCACGCGGTCTAGTCTCGTGCACAGGTACGTTTTCCAGCCTCGCACCGATCCTTGATTTTGAAATGATTTTAGTCGACGTAAATATCAATATTTTTTGCTCAATTTTTTTTATCGTTTTTTAATAACAAAATCTCTCGATTTGAGTGAAAATCAAAAAATGGCAAACCTTCCTATTCCATCTTTACCCTATGAGCACAAGAGGTACAGTCCAGGGCCTTGATTTGATGGGGGCCCCCAAATTCCCAAAAATTAGCCTAACGGTACAAAAAAAAATGACTAAGTGCCTACCTCACCCTATCACCTCCTACTTCAGTTTTTCACAACGGCATATTTTGATAAAATCATAATCTATGAAAAGGCGAAATGTCATAAAAACTCTCACTCTAACTTCTGTATACCTTTAGACACTATTCTCATCAAAATCAACCTGACGACAACTCAACTTAAACTCCATTTCGAATTTCGAGCTGATTTGAGGCGGTGGAAAAAACACTAAGTATGCACTTAGTAGGAATGCGAAATATAAATAGACTATTAATATTCTTGAAAACCTTAACTGAAATAAAATCGTATAAGTAACGTATGTTTTACAAAAAAATCGTGCAAAACCAATCAGTCGACATATATTTGGTATTCTTTAAAACTGATCGACATCACAGTCGTGAGGTCTGTGTGGGTCACCCAATGCTGACCTTAATCATTACACTCAAGTTAAAATTTTTAAAGGAAACCCTCATGCCTATCATGGAATTGGAAAAGGCAGGAAAGGTTACGTTCTTATGTGACCTTGACGATGTCAATCTTGTAAAGCAACATCTTGGTTTTTATGCCAAAATTGCAGAGAGCACGAAATTTTATATTTAAACGTGAACATTTTGTCATGACCTTGGAGATAATGGTCAAGGACAGCTTTGGGTGACTCCACAAAATTTAAAACTTTGCTCTCGAATATTTTCGCTAGAGCAAATTGTCCTCAATGTCCTGATCGGAACTTGAAATTGACTTGAAGGTAGTACTGATAGTTATAGTTAAGGTAATTTTCCAAATACCTTAGAGGTCGAGGTCATGCTCGGGGTCACCACTATTTTAACCACTCGAAACCCTACAACTTGTGCTTGGAACTTTTCCGTATTCAAAATACTTTGTGGAGAGTTCAAAATGAGACACTTTGTATAACGTTACAATTATCTGATGCTGACTCATACCGACATCCCTGCACAAAGAGAGGACATTTAGAATGTCTTGTGTGAAATATTGGAGGACATAATAGTCCCTGAATTAGTGGTAATTTCTCTCTATGTTCTTTGATGAGAGATGCTGTTGAAGATCCAAAAGAATTCTCGCATTTCTACCTTTATACAGAAGAGCGTTGTTTGTCAGTTGTCTTTTTCTTTTTCCTTTTTGTTTCAGAACCAATTTAGTTCTAGATTCATAGAATTGTCGTTATGGAAATATTACAGCACCGCAAAACATAATAAATTTTTAAACGTTTTACTGTTTCTTCTTGAAGTTTTTCATAACGCCATGTTGTCCATGCTAAGTATATTTTTTTCAAATTTTATAAATAAACTTTAACAGTAGCAAAAATATGTTTGAACTGTCGCTTTAACAACAAGTTAAGCATTTCCACGTGATTTAAAAATACGAGTGTGTATTATTATTACTATTACTCAAAAAATATGGCTTGCGTCACTGACTCGATGAACCTATACCAAAATCTTAAAAAAATGACTTGAAATAATTCGTTATACTAACATTTTTTATTGATTATTTGAGGAAGGATCCTTAATTCTTTCTGTAGAATCTCAAAACTTTTCTATTGAACGTATGATTAAGGTTATACGTGGTAAAAATGAGAGAGACCGATAGACAAACAGACAGATAGACCAACAGACAGACTAACAGAAATGAGTGACATAACATCCAAAACGCCAGTAAAAGCACAATACGGAAGTGCCACCATTAAAGGATTATTTCAAGATGTTCTATATTTAGATAAACGGCTCAGCAATTTATAACACCTTGACCCTTGCAAAGCATCATGTTAACATCTTAATTATAAAATCCTCTAATTCCCTTATTTGTCAGGAGCGAAGTGCAAAGCGGGACTAAATAAATCTATCGCCGCGCACGCGGTGGACAAAAAGCAAACATGATCAGACGGATAATGGAGTGTGGATAATAATATCGTAAAATCTGTATCATATAGAGTTAACTGAGGCTTGGCAGATATGCAAATATCTCGCTGTAATCGGTTGTAAGGCCAAAAGTAAATTGTGATGTATACATCTAAATTGTTTCAAACCTCCAATCGACTAAACATCTGTCATTTTCATTAATATGTGTTTATTTGTATATTGCATGTATCAAGCACAAATACTTCTATCCGATAACCGCTAGGAGGCGCTATTATGGCGCACCCAGCGAATAGTTGATTCTTTTTACTATCCGCGCCTACTGGCAGGAAGTGTTGTAATCAGGAAAATGTTCAAAAATCAGATATTATGTCTTTTGGATATCATATGACTTGTACATCCGAAAAACCATGTCATTCATATTCGTCGGTCTGTCTGTCTGTCTAATCTTATCAACCTATAACTTGATAAGTATTGCATGGATTTTCATGAAATGTTCACACAATATTACTACTATGCCAAGGGCACAAATCTGTTGTAGTTTCTGAAAGTCCGTCCAGCGGCGGCAGAGCAAAGGGCCAAAAACGAAAAAGAATAATAATCGCGAAAACTTAGTTTTTTGACGTTTTAGGGGACCCTGATCATTTTTGAAAAAAGCTTTAGAGGTAAAAAAAACTTGGGGTGGAAGTTGTAATTCTACGCACCTATTAGATATATTTCACACATCATAGATTTCTCCGTACATCAGCCCTTAAAACTTTTCTCAGCAGACGGATCGCGAGCCTACCAGCCACGGCTGCTGATTCCGGCGACGACACGTGACGCCGGCCTTACGCAAAGCGCAAATTGAGACACGTACAGCACGTGTGAGGTGACGCAGCACAGCACGTGTTTTTGTTAACCAATAGAATCTCTCATTGACTAGGGACGTGACGAGCTCGCCACCCCACACGAGTGACGTAGTGGATCAGACACAGTTTTCGAATGTCTTGCATTGCACCTGCTAAGCGTCTACAGACTTTTTCGTGCAGATTCATGTTAAATAGATGCCAGAAGAGAAGATAATTGAGGCCGTAAGGGAACACAAAGAGCTTTACGACACAAAGCATCCTAACTATATGAAGTTCAATAATAACAATTGTTATGTTCTTGTATAAGACATTTTCCAATGTGACGCGAGATCCTATCTAATTGCATCTCAATATGCGGATCCCCACGCAGCACGTGTGGCACGTACGTGTCTCTCGTCTCACGTCACCTCACACGTGCTATACGTACCTTTATTAAACCGGTCCCACACGATGTGGCGAATGCCTTACAACGTTGGACACCTGGCTATTGGTCACACCGTGTGGGAGAGCGCTGACGGATTGCATGTATCCAACGTTCGCCACATGGCACGTTCGGCCTCTTGTCGGTAAATCTGGCTCGCGTCAAAGGACGTTACAACGTTGGAAGCATGGTTCGTTACGCCCCCACACGAGATGTCATGTGTTTGATGGTTTTAGGCTAGAACCAGTAGCGGCGAAAAACATTATTTACTTGTTTGCTGTGATTGTGGTGAAGTAATGGTATGTGGGAAGTATTTTGATTTGAATACCTACCTATTCATAATAATGTATGTTCCGTAACTAACTTTTGATGAGAATGAATTAAATTAGTATACGTACAAAGCATAGGCTGTCATAACAACACTTTTCTCATATTGCTAATATTTTGTACGTTTCACAGGTGAATTATGGCTGGCCTAAGGATATGTATTTTAGTAAATTATGAATTATCAAGTGCTTGTTGTTGCAATGCAAGACTAGTTGAGAAATATATTGAATTGCATTTCATAACTAACGAAAACGATTAAATAAATGATAACTCTGAAAGTACTATCAGGATTTTGATGAAATACTGACCCTAGGTTACTTCTATGAAAGTGACGAAAAAGCTCTGCAGTTTTTTGAAAATCGGTACTATCGTCGAAAAATAAACAAAAAACGGTCAAACTTCGTTTTTCGACATTTCTGAGGCTTCTGACAGACTTAAGTTTTGGTCGCTGAAGTCAGATCTGAAATTATTTTTCGGCGCTCAAAAAAATTGTTTCATCGTTCATTTTGTATAATTTTTCCTTCAGTTCTAAAGGTTTAAGCGCGACACTGACACCGATAATAGACGTTGGCGCCACCATGCGTCGAACGTCCGAGACTAAAAAGTTCATCCCATCGTGTAGGAGACACACTTGCCAATTGTGGGGTGTCGAACGTTGTACACAATATTGTATACAACGTTGAAAGCATCGGGATAAGTATCGGGGAGAAGCGACGTTTCCAGATGCACCACCGGTAGGGCAGGAAAAGAATGTCTATAGACTAATTCTATGGACCTCTTTTACTAACTTCTTCTTTAAGAGTTTAGTTTGTGCTGAACATAATCTTTTATGACCTGATAACGGCGTTGCGTGGAAAATGCAGAGCTGATCTACTTGACGCAATTTTTTCATATACACCTCAAGCCACCACTATGTCTCTATCAATCTTATGGGTTTTTGATCACACTGCCACCGAGCTACACTTCAGAAATATTATAAAGGAACATTAAACGCTTGTTGCAATTTATAATGAAAAATGTATTCGAAAAAATACAAACTAAATAAAACTGATAAATAAATATAAAACTTATATAATCATTGAATACAAAGGTTTGTACTCCAAAAGTACTTCGTAAACATCAACTATAAAAAAATCCTGAACAGCAGAGATGCACTCGTAATTAGGCTGAAAACTACTGAGCTCTTGTTTATGAACGAAGAATTGCATCGATCTTCATTACAAGTAGAGCATTTTTCCAGTGAGCCGCCAAATTGCGCATTCAATTCTTCGCAACGGGTTCTTGGAGAACATCCCCTGGTTACTGAGGTTAGGTTGAATTCTGTGGAATTAAAGTATAGGATTAGACTAAACATCATGCTTTCGTCCGTTCAACCAAAAGACAGCCAACCGTAGACAGATGTTTCGTGCTATTCGGCTACTCATCATCATGGTCTAGGCTTGGTCTCTCGTCTCTGAGCTAACGAATTAAAGCATCGCAACTATCCTCCATCCAGGATTTATGGTCTATCGAAAATAGACTAATTATATATATATATATATATATATATATATATATATATATATATATATATATATATATATATATATATATATATATCTAATTCTTGTCAAACCTTAGTTAGATGGAGACGGTTTATTAAGGCAGAAGCAAATATGAGCGGCAGGGTACAATTCAAAAAACACCTAACAGTAGCCAGTCCAACTAAAATTGAGGCCTGATGTCGTAGTTTGTATCTCATTTAAGAGCTGTGACAATGACAGCCATCTGTACATTTTTTGTCCAATTTAGAACTTTTTTATTGACATTAATATTTGGACGTTAGACATCATGGACTTGGTTATATTCGACTCAATTGTCCCAGGGGCGGCGCTATCAAATTTTAACAGGGTATTTCGGGGATTAACTAAGCACGCCACTGGTTTCTTTGGTAGTGCGGTTAAGGGACTTTCAGACAAAGAAATATTTTTTCCTGCTTGTGAACAAGTAGTTTAAGAATTTGGGATTGGAAAATTTTGCCAAATGACTCTCGGTGGATGAAACTACGGAGATCCAGCTGGAACATTTTACACCTTCCAGTTTATTACTGTGACTTTCACATTTAGTTGAATAATATACAGACTCTGAAATTGCTTACCAACAGGCAAGCGCAAAATTTTTATTCATCATACCCACAAAGAAGTTAGACGCGTGCTCAGTTAAAATTCGAAATATCGGGTTAAAGATAGTGCCAGCCTTAAGGTAATTCAGTTAGAGATAACCCTTCATATCTACCGTCGATTAACAGAGTTTTATCTAAATGATTCAATTCAAAAACTAAAAATATTAACATTAGAAAAAATTAACTTGAACGCCCTGTATATCAGTAAGAGATCCAAAAAACTATCACGTTGACATGAACTTATTTTTTAGTTTAGTGAAATATCAGCTGATATAATTATTATAAATGGGAATGCATATCTTGACATGATTTTCAAGCTACTTCACTTGACTTGAAATCAAGACAAGCTGAAGTCAAGTACCACAGTAAATATTGATCGTATAAAGACTATAAAGTATGCCAGATAGTCTTGCACATGTTTGCTCTATCATCCAACACAAAAGGTTTCCTAGCTCTGCTCATTATTAACCATCCAGTTTTTAAATAAATCCGTGGTTTCTGTATTGTAAATTATTCAAAGAAATACTGGATTGGAAGGCTTAGATTCAATTGAGGTGATTCAAAGCTGATGATGATACATTGCAATCCTAGCAAGGCAAGAAGGTACTGAAAAAGAGCCTTTAAATGAAGTGTCTCGAATATTGGAAACAAAGTCATCACGTAATTTTTTTTTTCGTTCACTTTATCGATCCTTCCATCCACCATGGATAGAGATAGAAAAAATAGTAAAAAATTCTATGGATAAAATTATTGGACCTATATTCCCTTACCTGTATGTATGTATTTGATGCATACAAAATTTTGTGTGCAATTTTCCGTCAACACAGTAATTACATTTTTCTCACAAGCCAAATTTTTCCCAATGGTTTCTTGACACTGGTAGCAAACCAGGCTGTATGCTGTAATAGGGAAACAAAAGGTGGTTAGAGGCATTGTATATAATGTACACGATAAGGATATTATACTGGAAAACTTTTAGAGTAGTTTTGTCGGCGGTTAATTTAAACATCATGAAACTAAAATCAACAGAATATTATAATAATAATAATAATAATAATAATAACGATAACGATAACGATAACGATAACGATAACGATAACGATAACGATAACGATAATGATGACGATGACGATGACGATGACGATGACGATGACGATGACGATGACGATGACGATGACGATGACGATGACGATGACGATGACGATGACGATGACGATAACGATAACGGTGACGGTGACGGTGACGGTGACGATTACGATTACGATAACGATAATGAAAGTGATAATGATGATGATAATTATAATGATAATGATATTGATATTGATATTGATATTGATGTTGATATTGATATTGATAACCTTTACGATAACGATAACGACAACGATAATGATAGCGATAACGATAATGATAGTAATAATAATAATAATAATAATATTTATTCGCCAAAATACAAAATTGTTTAAAAATGGGCAAATACATATGAAAAATATACAAAAGGCATCGCCTATGTGTGGACTATATCTTACTAACAAAAATTTATGTGTACAGAAAATATAGTTAATTCTAAAAAGTATTTATATAACTTGAATGTTGTAGTGTTCTGTATAATTATGTATAGTCATTCGCTGCACAGTAAAAACCCAGTCGTTTGACTTTTGTCTAATATTTTTCCAAAATTTAGGAATTTAAATGATTTCTTGAATAATGTTTTCTGTGGTTTTTGGATCTTAGATCAGCCTGTTCGAAATCTTGTGTCGTGCTCGTGTTTATGGGAATTTTTTTGTTACAATGTTTGTGGCATAAGGTGCAGCAAATATGACGTCATTTTGTAGACCTATACCGTCTATTAAAACAGAATGTGCTAAATTTAATAATAATGAACTACTTGTACTTGCAAGCCTAACAAAAATTGCATACTGTGCCAAATAGTTACAGGGGCATAAGCCAATTTTTTCGACTTATGACATTCTTACGTATTCGTTGAGAGGACGGCAATAAGAATAATTCAGTGAAATAGTATCAGTGGCGCTCCCAGGATGTCAGTCTGGGAGGGGTAAAATGGAAGGTAAATTCTCAGTGTGACGTCCTGAAGTGTTATAATGATTCAACATTAAAAGCATGGACATATGCTGACATATGAATTTGTTACAGTAATTTCTGTAGAAAATACATACATTCTTTTTTAATTTTGAATCATACAAAATCAAAGTGTAAATAAAGCATACCAAACTCGAGCAATCTTCATATATTAAAACAAAAATGCAAAACAATATATTATCTAGAGTTTTTTTTGGGGGGGGGGGGTAATTACCCCCTTTGCCCCGCCCCCGTGGGAGCGCGTGAATTGTATAAGTAGATATATGAAGAAAAGCCATTTAAATCAAAATCAAAATTGACACTAGCATCAAATTCGCAACGTAAATACCTAAATCAAATGTTGGTTGGTCTCCTTTTTATGTTGCTATATACTTTAATAATGCTTTTGTTAGGTTTTTTTATTCAAACATTTCCAAGTTTTTGGGCCGATTTTTTTAATCTTATTTTCATTCCTTCATACATACTGTCGTGCCGTACGACATGATTTGTTAAACGTTCCAAGCTAAAGATCGAGAATACCGGTCCAGCATATTGCGCAACAAATTTACATACCTTTAACGTTAACGTGCGCGCCCACTGAGCGTATAGGGTTAAGGGAGAAGAGCAGTGAAGAGAAGAAAAGGGAAACTCTTCCGTGGGCTTCGTTACACGTGATCAAATTACCGCCCGCACACTTAGGCATCGCGAAGGGAATAAATGCGACACGCTTGACATGTGCAAAACGAAAAATGTCGCTGCGGTTCACTTCGCGTCTCCTTAATGTGAGTGCACGTTTATGCATACAACTGGCAAAACATATTGAAAATTAACAAGAATTTATGACCATCGGAAGCAAAGTTATCAAAGGTTAATAGAACCTTTAACGAAATTAAGTAGAACCTATATAAAAATCTATTACCCTTCAGGCTATGTATTCCATAAAATAAGCTTACCGTGGTTTATACTTTGAACTGCGAGCACCAAAAATATCAATGATATTTTCATCTTGAGAACCAATAGCTGCACTAGTTTGATGATCAATCAATAAGTTACCTACTGAGAACGTATCTCTAGGTCTTGTCGCATTCACCACTACATCACTTGTGATAAGATTACGCGTGCAAAGTAAATATAGATAAAATTTAGCATTACAGATGACTGTATTCTTCAAATACTTGATGTTTGAAATATTAAATGTATATGAGTCAGACATGGTTCTGAAAAAATACAAATGTAGGTTCGCCGATTCTACTTGATTTAAGCAACCGCGGTGTTTCAGCAACTAGACTTTGCGTTTACGGCTTCTTGACTGCTCGAGTAACAAGAGACATAGTACCCATCAGGAGAAGGAACACTTACTATTTACCATCACCTGGTTCTAGGAAGCTGAACTACCTTTTATTTCTCACTACTGGCGAGGAAGTATTGTATTCACGAATAGTTTAGAAAATGAGATATTATGTTTTTAGGATATTATATGACATGAAAGATACTTAAAACCATGCCACTCATTTCCGTCAGCCTGGTTGTCTGTCCGCTAATCCCGCCTGTATCTTGGATTGTTGGAATTTTGATAAAATTTTCATACAAGGTTACTAATATGGCAAGGACGAGAAAATCGGTCCAGTAGCGACGGAGAAAAAGGATAAAGTTCATAAAATTAAAAATCGTTCAAACTTCGTTTTTTTACGTTTCTCAGAGGATACTGATCATATTTGAAACATTTTTTAGAGATAAAAAGCTTAGCATGGTGTAGGATTATTGATATTACATATAGATATAGTTTGGCAAAAACACGTTATCACGTGCAGCTACCTGGGCGGGGGTGACACCAACACTAAAATCTTAAATGGAAAGGGGGGTGGAGTGATACCTTATTTTAAAGGTATTTCAATTCCCTTTATAATGATGTAAAATACATGAGCTTCAGTTCAGTAGTTTTGAAGATTTATTAATTTAAAGCTTAAAGTAGACTTTAATAGGTAGATCAGATTAGTTTGTACTACTTTCAGAAGAAATTTGACTAAAAGAATTTACTTAATAAGTAGATGCTTTTCTTCACTACGCCCATGGTTTGTTTATCATTTTGTTGTTGAAAATAGCTATTGGAGCATTTTTTTGTGGCAAAAAAGTTATTTCTTGAAGAAAGATAAGGAAATATCTAGTACTTATTTTAAATAGGAGTTTAGTACATAGTTTGCGATTGATTTGACCAAACTTTGTTGCTAAAATAACTTGTAACGCTTTGTTAAATAAATTAACCGTGGTATGTTCCACAGCAGAAAGAGTTGAAATTATCGAAATATTTTTCTGAAATAATCAGTGCGCTTATAGAACAGCAGAAATATTTTATGAGCGACATGAGAACAGTCACGTGCATCGAAAATATGTTCTAGAACCTGTAGCTAAATTTCGGGAAACTGTTTCAGTCGCCAATAAAAAACCCAACATTGAAAATCCCATAAGGAACGAAGCAATAGAAGTGGGGACTTTAGGGCAAGTTAATGTAGATCCTACGTTAAGAATGTTGATGAAATTTTTCCACAAGGTTACGACTATGCCAAGAACGGACACGCTTTGTTGTTTTTAAAAATCAATTCAGGGGTGATGGAGCTTCAGGCAAAAAACCGAAAAATAATAATTGCTCCAACATTGTCGAGTTGGGGGTTGTGATAAGAGTATATCTCAATTTTTTGGCGTTTGTATTTTCATACACTTTCACACATAATAGATTCCCGATGCATTTGCCCTAAAAACTTAGAATGGGAGAAAAAGATTTTCGAAGCAGGCATCTCAGCAGCGTTGCGATCGTGGATATACCTGCGTCGAGGTCTGACTGATGGCTGGCTGCGAGGATAGTCATAACAACGTTTCAAGATGGTTGATATTACCGGCACAGCAGCCAGACCGCAACGTTGGGCATGGACTATGGACTTATTGTACGGTCGTGTTTGACAGACTTGGTCCGTTAAAAATATTCGTTGTACATGTTCGCTGCTATCTTTTTTTTAAAGCGGGGCTAAACGTAATACTTGCTATATGGACTAACGACAGTGTTGCGTGGAAAATGCGGTATCAAACTATTTGATTCCATTTTTATCTAAAAGCCCAACTGAATATGTATATTCGAATAACGATCCATATTCCACTTTGTTTTAGAAACCAGATAAAACAGGTAAATTAACTCAATTAACAATCCTATTGAACTTGTAACTACATATTTACTGTGAGCTGTAACGTAATATACTCGTACATTTATTACCTAGTATAGGAAACTCCAGGTTCCGGTTATCTCTCAAAACATTTATCTTCCAACGCTGCGCTGTGCAATTAAAGGTAATTAAAACACACATTTCCACTTTGACGTTGGATGTTGTAAATTTAGCGTCTAGTTATTAGTATGGGTTAGGTAGTAGTATAGTTTTATTTCATTATTGATCACACACATTTGCAAATACGAGCATGTAGAAATATATATGTGCATACATCGGAAATATGTAACCTTATCTGTTCTTATGTAAACCACCATAACTCATTTATTTCTTGGAGTAAAAATACCACATTTCTAAGGGTTTAATGCAAGGAAACGCTTTGCATTTTTCCAAAAACTCCTTTTGCAAAAATATTCCTAACATCTTTTCTGGCACAATTTTTTTGCTCATCATAGCTTCTTAATTCAAATGTCTATTTTTCCATTCTTCCGGATTAAAATCGCAAAATATTTCTTAGAATTTCTCAATCGTAGTCGCCATTCCTTGTACATACCTCAAAAAGGTTTTTTTAAAAAAAATGCGAAAATCAGAGTCCTTACGTGGGGTTTTTGGCCCTGGAAATAATTCAAATTTCAAGCTGATAGCATCTATGAAATTCTTCCGTTTAAATATAGGTCTAAATTTGACCCATTTTCGAATATTTAACTTAGTATTTTTATATGAGCGCATAGTCGCAATAATTTGTACTTCAAACTTATAATAAAATATATACACACACAAAACATATATTAAAATAAAAGCGTTGCTCCGCTGGGCTCACATTAAAAGCAAGAGTTGAAATCTCATTATGTATTGATTTGTTTTACCTACTGAATTCTTAATAGTCACTGAGATCTTCATCTAGTTAATGCATTATCATAGTTTTTCTTTCCGATAAATCAAACTACATATGCTGGAGAAAAGCTCACTTAAATTCGAAATGTCTCAACAGTCTTTCAAATTACAGGCCAAAAGTATTTATCAGGATTATCGGCCAGAAGAACATAGAGATGAACCATTTAGGTTTTATTTATGGTCATCATTAAAATTGTTTTTTTGAATTCCGGTAATTTTTTATAGACTGTTTTTCCATTAAACTAACCTATTGCTTGTAGTTTTTATTACCCGATTGCCTGAGATGGAGGATAAATTTCGACGATCTGTGGTTGAATTCATCTTAGCAGTGAGAGTGACATTGGCTATATTGAAATTTTATAAAAACAAAATAAAAAAGTTCAGCCTTGAAATTCAAATTTCACAGGTTGCGGCTTGAAGGCTTGATGGATTTTAATATGTGAGACTTTGTTGTATTATCCTTAGCAGTGCGGGTGACAACGGCTATATTAAAATTTAAAAAAAACAAAATGACGGATTTTAATATAAAAATTCAACCTTGAAATTTCTAGACATTAAACGGCTTAATAGATTTTGACATATGAGGTGTCTTTAGATTTCTCTTGATAGCACAATTAGATCTTCATTCCTGCAGCCAGATTGTTTGTATATTTTACAAATGTACTTGTTCAGAATATTTGTATATTTGCCTTGTATATTTCAAAATTAGCATCGATTTGATTAATGATTATCAGACAGCCATTCTGGGGTACGTAATATATAGAGAAGAATGCGCAGAACGATTTATTTGCTTTTCTCCCCAATACGATGATTTATGGTCACCTAGTCTAAACACCACGATGGCATTAAAAACGCATTTGGAGATAAACGGTTGCGCTATATTGAGAACCGCTAACGTAAATTAGTATCAGTGCTGTAGAGTAAGGGCAGGATCTCACAGGATATACTCGTATACTCGAAGAGGATCTTCTTATTAAAGTTAACTACCGCTTCAAGACAAACCTGACATTAATATGTGTTTTTATGGCAGTGAGCTTTATAGTTAACCTAAATTTGAAAAACTTTCAGGGGTATCGCGTAAAAAATCGATGTAATGCCAACTTGTGTACTAAGTAGTTGCTAGCCCATTCCGCACCTACTCGCTATGAGCGCCAGCTATGGAGGAATGTCTGACAATAGTATAGAATATATAGCTTAGGTCATAGAAGCTATGAATAGTCCCACTAGTCCCTACTGTGAAGCAGATGTTACATCACATCAGGGCAGAACTATATATCTCAATTGTCATAACGTTTAGGCAACACGCGCCGCTACTACAAGTGAACATGAAGAGAATGAAATATAGTTCCAAGGAACATTTCTTCGGAAAACTTACAAGTTGTCATTAAAAATCGATATACTGTCACTTTTTAAATTACGCAATACAGGTGCGGGCAGAAGAGGAGAAACGGAAATTGTTGTTTGGTCAAACTGCGGGTATATTACATGTTATTTCAGTGTTGATGCACTTGGAAATCATCAGGGTCTATAAGAGTGTCTTTTGATGGTGAAAATAGCTCAAATTTTAAGTTAATTGTGTTTATGAGATTTTTCCATTTAAATATCTTAGGACATTTGTATTTCGGACTTTTATCAACATTTATCTTTTTATTTCAGTATTATTCTTTAAAGGTCCAAGGTTCGCAGTTTTGGCATTTTCCTCCAAAGTATTCGAATATTCTTACCTACTACTTTTATATGAGCGCGTGGCCGCAACACCTTCTACTTCAATTCTATCTTTCGTCCTACAGTCTATTATAAAAAAACTGAGACACAAAACCTACCGTGTGTTTCAAATTCGACTCTCAGCATTGGGATCTTGGAAACGATAAGAGATACGAACTCGTTTTTTTAGGCAACTGATAAAATGGCCCTTAAAACTTTCGGAATTCTATTTCCGGAAAGAGAGGGAAAAAATTGAATTTTCCCAAAGGATCCTATGAAACGTCAAAAAAACACGTTTGAGTGATTCTTATTTTTTCG